CTTGTCCCCTGCATGTCCTGGGGGATGGATTCCGACAAGTGTGGCATGTGAACCCACTGTGTGCTGCCCCATCTCATCAGGCACACCATCACAGACACCACCATGTGCTGTAAGCCCACGTCCAAGGAAGGGACAGGGGCCACAGTTGGTGCTGGCGACCAGAGTCTACCTTGCCCACCAATATGCAAATTTAACCTTTTTGATATTCCAGCATCATAAACCCGGAGACAGGATTTCAACAGAGAAGTGTTTACTTAGGGCTCTCTCCTTCATAATCTCTCCAGTCTCAATACCCTTACCACTTAGTTGAATGTTACCTTAGCCTTAGTGTTACCCTGAGGGCTGCTATTGCAAATGTGAACACATTTTATTTATTTATGGCATTCAAAATATTAGTGTTGGCAATGAGTAAGGACTGAGTCTTCTGGTGTTTCTATTTAAAGTCTGTTTTTCCTACGCTGGTAATTCACCATGCTAATCAGGGCCAACAAGCAAAGTGTGGGCAGCCCTGAGCAGGCGCTAAGGCAGCGCTTGGCCTCTGCTTTTTTTTAAGTAATGTAACTAACACACAGCTCATTATACATGGGGTTGACGTCCATCCATGTGCCCTTTGGGACCAGAAGCACCTGATTGTCACTATCATTTAGCCAGAAGCCAAATCTGCCCCTCCAGTCATTTCTGTCCCAAAGCCTAGCCCAGCTGACCCAAGCCCTGCTGGCAGCAGCCGTGGATCCCAGGCAGGGCCTCAGGGGCTTTACAAGGGACCAGGCCTCCCTTCATATTCTGCAGCCCTCCACCCCAGCTGACTGAAGGAGACTTCCTGGGGGAGCAGCCTTGCAGGACCATTCTCCCACCATGAAGGTGCCCCCAGAGGCCATGACTGAGCCTCTTCCCAGCTACCAAGGGACCGTTCCCAGGCACTTTCTGTGCTGCTGAATCACCAAAAATCAAGGACACTGGATTGTCCTTTTCTTGATTCTCAGAATTTTGGTTCATTACCCAGGGTTTTTGGAGTAGGTCTTTGGAGTCTCTCTGTGTGGGCTCTCTACTGGCAAAGCTGGCCTCCAGTCCCTGGGCCCAGCCTCCCTGGTCCCACCCAGACCCTCACCATCCATGGCAGGAGATGGTGTCTGGATGGCCAAGCCAGCTGACCTGAGGCTGTCTGGATGGGGCCTCTCCGCCAGGTCACTCACTGTGCTCACACCGTGGCATCATGCCCAAACCCCTGCTTGCTTTAAAACTGTGGCCGAGTTCCCAAATCCTTCTGGGTAAGCCTCTGTCTCTGCAGCCGTGAAACGAATCAAGTTCCCAGTATACCACAGGCCCCAAGGAGTCATCCACTGCACTGGGCTATAGCACTTTCCAGCCAGGCTCTGTCCCCCATCTCAGGATGGACCCCCCAGTGCTAAGACCTGGGCTCCGTGCCAGCCTGGTTGCATTGCTGGTGGCATGAACCCCACATGCAGGGCACGGGCCTCCCTGCACCAGGCATCCCCACTACCTAGCTGTGCCCAGGCTGAGGCAGCATCCAGCAGAATTTGGATGGACTTCTTGGTCCAGAGTCCAGGTCTCTGTTTCACCTTTGGTTAGTTTAATTCCTCAACCTTGCACAAATCCCTCACCCAGGTCAGACTGAACTACTCATCCTCACCACCAGAAATGGATTATTCCACCCCTGAATTTCTCCAGCCATGACTTCCTAAGACTTCCCTGCTCTCTGACCCTGATAATTTAATTACATGATGCCTTCAGTCTATAATAGACAGGAGATCAAGCCTGTCTCTTCCAGGGAGCCTTCCCTGACTGCCCCACTCCAGTCACTCACTGCCTAGGTGTGGCCTCTCCCTCCCATAAATGTCCATACAACTCCACCTTGAGCCACTTGGAGGATACTTATCACAAGCTGTCTACACTGTAAGTAATTCACATGATCATTAACAAAGACAGCAACATGACAGCCCCTTAACCATGGAGCAGTTTGTGAAGATCAACCATAATAAAACACTTAAAGCATTTAGAAAGTACTTGACAAGTAGTGACCAACACTAGCTAGTTACCATTACCAGTGAAGTCAATAAAAATATTGACCTCTTGTCCACAAAAAGGGCTAAAGTATACTGTCCATGTATGACACATACAGGAGGAAGAAAAACTACTTTTTCAGTTGTGCTAAACAAGGACACAGCTCCTAAGAGCTTCTGGGGTCTTGAGGAAAGATGTGATCACCATGTGCCTCTCCAGGAACTGGAGCACTGTACAGAAGGGAGCAGGTGCTCCTGTCCACCTGCTGCAATGCCCCAGGGTACAAAGGCGAGAGACACGAGCTCATCAGCTCCATGGTCACTACCACCAAGCCCAGGGCACAGGCCCCACGTTAAGTGAGGATGTGGTTGCTCATACATACAATGAGCTGTCCGTGTGCTCCTGGCCAAAGCAAATGTTTTACACCGATTTACAAAGCGGTCATACAACATAGCCTGGCTCATGTGCCCAAACAGGCTCTTCATTTAAGCAGTGAGCTGTCACTCTGGCAGGGTTGTGTACTCCTGGTGGCCCCACATCCACACCATGGAATTTGAGTTTATGAAACAACCAGCAATGTGACTTGTTTCTGAGCTTCCACAGCAAACCAGGGACGAGGTGGGGAGGAAAATCAAATTACAGCAGGGCCTGATTAGTTGGGTTTGCAGTAACCAAAGTTGACTGTACATATTAAAGCCCGAGTGATTAAAACATAAAAATCCCTACTGTTAAATTAGATGGTAAGCATGCCTCCCCACGTGAGTTCTAAGCTCCCGTCTAGCTACCACCCTGTGTAATCAACAGTGTCATTAACATACACAAATTCAACTATGAGCAGCTACAGATGGCTGCAATCACATATGTGATTTAATTTAAATGCAGTCATGTGCCGTGGCTGTGGGGCGGAGGTGCCGTGACGCGCTTTGCTGAGGAGGCAGGAGGTTGCAGAGCAGGCCAGCCCCAAGCCCAGGTGTCTCTGGCCTCCCCAAAGCCAAAAAGCCTGCCTGACAGGAGGCCGGAGAGCCGCATGCTCTGTGCCCAGTCACCAGCAGATGGCAGGAGGGTGGGTCTCAGAACCAGCACAGCGGACTGCACTTCCAGGCCAGACAAGGAGACGTGCCCCACTTCCATGTGGGGTCACACAAAATGCCGCGCAGGACCAGGGAGACGCATAGCAAATACCAGCCATGCCCCTACCAGAATAGTCATGTCCTTAAAAACATAAAATGGTTAGTAAGCATGCAATGAAACAAATGGGTCCCCAGGGTCATAGGAGACAAGGAGTGCAGCAGGCCTGAGGGCTTAAGAAAGAGACCCTGAGCCCCACGATCCTCCTGGCCCATCTCAGGCATCAGCTCTGATAAGGTCCTCTGCCTGGTGGGAGCCCTGGGTGCATGCCCAGGCGGCCCTTTCCCAGCCATGTAGAAGTCTTTGTAGATTAATAAAGTTAAGGATTGAGAGGAACTCATCCTGGATTGAAGTGGCCCTAAATGCAATGACAGGTGTCCTTGTAAGAGACACAGGAGGAGAGACACAAAGAAGCAGCCACGCAGAGATGGAGGCAGAGATGGGAGAGACACAGCCACAAGCCTAGGTCCACCTGGAGCCTCCAAAAGCTACAAAGAGGCTGGAAGGAGCCTCCCCTGGAGCCTGGAGAGGGAGTACGGCCCTGCCCCACCTGAGCCCATGAGAGAAGGGAGCTCCAGTGTCTGCCCCGGTGTGGGCCGCTTGTTCGGCAGCCCCAGGAAACTCATTCATGGCACACCCAGGAACACATGCCCATTCTCTTGAGACCTCAGCCTCCAGGTCACAAAAGGACGGGGCTGCCTCCAGGATCCACCTTCACTCCATGACTCCATAGCTCCTGCTGGAGGCAAGGCATCTCACCAGGTAGCGTGGATTCCTCTGGGCTGAGCAGGGACAACCCACAGCAACCGCACCCCAGCAGTCCCACGTAGTTGGCCCACTCTCTCCATCCTGCTGCCTGGTGGGCTGCCTCCAGGAGTTGTCATTTTAGAAACTGCCTCCCTTATCTGAGAGCTGTTCTCATCTGTGGCACAAAATCCAGACACCTTGTGGGAAAGTGGAAATCCATTCCAACACAAGAAGGACCCACCTGCTCACCCTGTGGATAAGTGGACGTTTTGATCTGGCAATAGAAAGATGCAGTTGGTGCTGCAGTGACAGGGAAAAACAGCGACAGTAATGAAAGAAGCAGGCACATGCTCAAGCATGTAAGACATATCAGTGTGTTCAGTCCTCACAAAGCACCATTGCCAGGTGGAAATAAAGAGGATTACCTTAAAAGTTAGGAAAACGGGCTGAGCTGACTCCAAGGCCTGTAAGGCTCACTGCCACCAGCCTGCCTCCCAGCAAAAAGCAAGAGCAAGCTTGGTCAGCCTCCAATCAGGAATGGAGATGGTGACACCTCTAGGCCATGTGACCTTGTTACTTCACACGCTGCTCTGACAGACACCCGGCATGCCAGGGAAACGCAACACCCGGGCTTACATCAACTTGATGTGTGTGCATGTGCACACGTGTCTTTATGTGGGCATGCATGTGTGTGTACACATGTGCATTGTGTGTGTGCTGTGTGCACATGCACATGTGTATATATATCTCTGTGTGTCCATGTGCATGCACGTGTGTGTGGACACATGAAGGCAGGAGGTGGTGGGGTGAGCCGTAGGACACACCCTGACATGTGCCAGGGTTTTAGAAGGGGGTCCTCAATATCTAGGGGGATGTGGGAGCTGATATTGACATGTAAACCCCAGCCCTGGGGTCTGCCAGTTGCCCCTGGAAGAGGCTGGGCAGGGGCAACAGAAGACCTCTTCAGAATGAGGCCATGGAGCCTGGGGATTGTGCACGTGCTGGAGGGCGCTGTGACAGGGTGACTTCAGCACACTGTGCAGGGGAAGAGGCCCTGAGCTGACTGCTCAGCATCAAAGAGGCCTGGTGCTTGTGTCTTTCAGGAATTTGCAGACGCCGTGTCCCAGCTGGTCACGCAGAAGTTCCGTGAGCTGACCGTGGGCCTGACGTCCGTGCACGCCCGCCACAAAGCACTGGCAGGGGTCATCATGACCAAAGGTAAACTGCCTCTTGTGTTTCCATGGGAATCTCATCTGCAAGGAGAGGAAATTTAGTGTTTGATCTTGGGGACCAAAGGAATCTCTCCTCGGTACGAAGATGTGACGAGGAAAACAAAAGCAGGACACAGAGAGGTCAGTGACCAAAGTAGACCATCAGTGAAGCCACACTGACCTAGTTGTGTAATTGTGCCCCTCTCTCCATCCCCTCCCTGCCATCAGGAAGGACGTTGCACAGCCGGTGTTTGTAAAAGCTGGAATCCATGTTGGCTGGCCACTGATCAGCTGCAGCTGGTGGCAGGCGAGGCCTCCTGCCCTCCCCCTGTTCCCCTGCATTTCCGCAGTGAGCGGGGCTTAGGGAACCAGGGGCTCCTCCCTGCATGCCCACCTGCTGCAGACACAGAGTTCTGGCCCAGACCTGAGGACCACAGGGTGCCCACAGCCCAGGCCAGGCCTGTTATGAGCCAGATTGGGGGAAATGGTGGTCAATTTCAAGTGGTCGGTTTGGTGAAAACATCTCATTACAAACCTAGTACTAATAACTAACTAGCTGGCTATTCGAATTCAACTGTCTCCAGCGTTTGGTATGAGTTGGTAATGATGCACTGGAGAAGAGTTGTGAAAAATAAATGGCTTTGGGTTATTTAAGTTCCCCAGACTTCGCTCTACACATGCAAACAAAGTCTAAGACCTGAAGAAGAGCATCTGATGCCCAAACATATTTATGTTAAAATCAGTTAAAAACCAGACAACAGGCACACTTTTGCATCATTCTAGGCTCCAGGGGGCCCCTCCAGCAAAACTCAGGGCACTGTCTTGGGTTTAGCATTGGGATCTGTCACCTAAACTTTCCATATTTGGCATCTTAGTAAAATGGAAATGCTTTCCCCTGTGTAATTCTGAGTAGGATAAAGTGTATGAAATGCTCGGAAAGACAAAAATTACTTCATAAGGATAATGTCCTAGGTCAAGGTCATTCCGTTTCATCAATGACATGGCTATTTGTGGGCATGCCTCACACATTCGAGAACATCCAGCTCTCTGTAGGGTATGAAATATTCTAAAATGACGACTGAATTCACCTCAACCAAGATCCTTACCACAGGATGTGGCCTTCCTCTACCCAGCCAGCCAGCAGCGACAACTTGGACGTGTCCTCACATTGGCCACCTGTGTATAAAATGAAGATTCGTGTGGCCACGATTCTCACCTGACCCTGGTTGGCTAGCTCACTACACAGGTGTGGGCAATACATTGTCATTGACTCGACATAAAGAGCTCCACCCAGTGCTCTGGGTGACACGGTGGCACGGCTGCAAGGCTGCAGGAGAGCAGAACAGAGGCTGAAGTGGTGGCAGTGCTGAGGACAGAGACTGGGACAGCTATGTGGGCAGAGAGGCCCAGAGGCAGAAACCGGCTTGTTGCGTGCAGACTCACTCTGAGTGAACGGGATTCTAGTGACTGACCTGCCACCATGGAAATAAAGTTGGGTATAACCCTTTCTCCCCAAGAACGTTCTACTGTCATTTCTTTGGTCACATTGAATCCATAGTGAACTTGCCCGGGGCTGAAACCTATTGGCAAGACACCACCATTCTGGTACCATTCCATGAGGATGCCAAGAAAAATGCAGCTCCCACCAGAGGATGTAACAATCAAGGACACATGCCAGGTGGTATGGTGGGAATAACCATGCAGGTTGGCATCCCAGCTCTGCCTGCAGCAAGCAGTGTGATCTCAGGCCAACCAGCTTCTCCAGAACTCCGTTTCCCACCTTTAAAATGGGAATAACAGCCAAGCCCACCAAGGAGGGTCAAGGTTAAAAGTGCACAAGCAACACTCTGGGAGATGCCGTGCCCACAGGATGTGCCACACAAGTGCTCTCCTTCATAATAGCTGCCTTATTCATGAACTATTCACCCAACGCCTTCCATGTCCTAGAGCCCACCCAGGTTCTGGCAAAAGAGCAGGCCACAAAACAGACCAGGTGCCTGCCTGTGTGGACCTTATGCCCAGAGAGGAAGAGGCCATAGAGACCAACTTAAATCCAATGTGAACAGAACTACAAAGAGTTGCCTGCAGAGCTGAAGGATCACATAAGCAGAACTTCAGCAAACTTTAAAATTTGGAGTGTCACAAGGATTTTTCTGCCACAGATTCCAGAATATTGTATTTAAGTTAGTGTCTTGGTCCGACCCATGACTAGTAGGACTGGGTAGGGGGACCCCATGTTTCTTCTTCACTGTGCAATGTATTCCCTCCCCAAGACTATAGACAGTATGATTTGGGGAGTAGTTCACCAGCATTTCTCAGCTCCAGAGCTGTGATTACCTAATATCTCTCCTCTTTCCTGGGAAACTCAATTCTGGGAAATCTTGAAAGCTACCCTCAGACTTTCCCTGGAAAACAGGAGTGTTTAACAAAGACTTGTGGGAAAATGGTACTTAAAAGCAGCCAGGGAAGGCACAGATTTACATGCAGGCAAGTTCACTTATTAGTAACTTACAAACATCAAAGAAAAATTGCTGAAATTTACCTTCCTGTTACAAAGAGGAGATTTAATAAACATGTTGATTAAAAAGAGATTAAGGGAGAAAAGTGCAAAATTACTAATAGAAATATTTTTAAATGTTCATTCCCTTACAGTTGATGTGCCATCTAATCTTAATTCTGGTTCAGTTATAAATGCCCAAGAAACTCTAAGAGGGAAGAATGTGCCTTATTCCAGTTGCTACCTATATCACAGGTGATGAGGTCAAACAGGTCTTAAAGTGAGCCCTGATTCATGGCCCCCCATCTTAGGTGGGGTGCCAGTTCATCCACATCAAGTAGCTCTGATGAAGTCGTTTCATTTATGAGGCAAAGGCTGTTTTGTAGCCATTACAAGATATATGACAGAAAAATAAATGCTCATGAACAGGTCTTACTTTTGTCAAAATAACGCAGTCTCCAGTAAAAAGCACAAAAAAACTTACAAATCAAAACCACTTCCTTGCTTCCCTTTGTTCCTCAGACGCAACTGCCTCCCATCAGTTTTTTTGTTCTGACAATAAATACCACATTGGTTCTGTATTTCTGTATTTCCAATCCTAAATAATACCTATGGAGTCACACTGTTCAGATGTGATTTTTTTTTATTTTTCTTTGTTGTACTTGAAGTGTTTGTAACTTTAGGTAATATCCTCTACATGACCAAGTGCGGTGCTGCACCCTCACCTCCCATCCTGTAAGGCGGTGCCCTCAGCCTCATCCTCCCACCAACATCCAGCTACTATAAAGCTATTCGGGTATGACCATCCTATCCCTGCCCTAATTAAGTCTTCTACATTTGTCCATCCAGTGAATCTGGAGGTTGACAGCCACCAACCAGCACCACATGAGCAGGACCCCCTAACTATCACTATCACCGAGGGGAGCGGGAGCTGGCTCCCAGGGTTTCCCATTGACACCATGCCTCCCTGCTGAGGTCCCAGAGCCAGGGCCACACGTCCCATCCTAGCTCAAACCAAGGCACATCAGGCTGATGCAAAGCAGTAGCTAGATGCTCTCAGATAGCTTTGAGCATACTCTGTATGTTTTCCGGAATACCCAATCTTCGTGTTCCTGATAAAGAGGAATGTGCTTGGGCATCATGCTGATTTGTGGAGCCTTTGAATCATCCTGTCTACAGCGTGGCCTCTCCCTTCCCATGGAGCCCTGACCCTGGCCTATGTGCCCCAGAACCCAGCCAAGACCCCGACCCACACCTGGACGCGGCCTTCTCCTTGCCCCTTAGACTGACAGAGCCTTCTCAGGAAAAGTGGCAGAGCGCATGGGATGGAAACCAGTATCTCCACTGGTCCCATGCACTGCAGTGGTCCTGCAGGGCCTGTTCCAGGCTGGTGATGATGCCCAGTCTTCTGAGGGGTTTCCGTTCCCTCTCATCTAATGTCTCCTCCAGCCGTTTTCTCAGCAGGACCAGCTCCAGCTGCCCGAAGAGGGGAAGGAGCTTTTAGACTGCAATGTTGTGTGGTTTCCTAAGAACATGCTTAGGTGTAGCCAGCCCACCTCGCTGAGGCCGTGCACCTGCAGACTCGCTGGCACCCTCCCTCTGCGAATCAGCCCTTCACACACACTGGTGGGTCTTCCCTTGTTTCTTGGAGACCCAGGCTTGCAGCGTGTCTCATCACCTGCCCTCTTACCTTCACAGTTGTTCCACGGTTGGGACATCCCCCATGTCCTGAGGTCCCTGCTTTCTCTTGTTTTACAGGAGTGGCATCTCCTCAAGTTTCTCTGGGCGACTTACCCACAAATTCCTGAGCCTTCTGCACCTGCTGGGGGGGCCTCCTCCACAGCCAAGGCTCTCTTTTTATTCCCAGCCTGTCTGTTTATCTGGCTTCAATTTGTGCCTGGACATTCACCTCTGTGTAAAGTACTGGAGGCGGTAGTGGGTGCTGAGCCCCAATTCCCTGTGGGCGCTGGGCGGGCCACTGCTCTCAGAAGCACAGACTGCTGGTCGCTCCCTGCTCTGACCTGGCTCTGAGCCCCTCAGGCAGTGACTCCAGCCCGACAGCTGAGACCCTTGTCCTGACAGGCCTCCTTCACAGCTGGTCTCTCCTGAAGCAGGGGGATGCTATGGCAGGCCACTCAGCTAAGGAGGAATCGAATGACCCCACGGGGCTTGCAGCTCACTTCTCAGTGCTGCCGACTGGGGCCATGTTCTGGAGGCGGCAGCCCTTCCCAACAGCACTAGGCCTGGGGCCCACTCTGCCCCATCGCTCCATGTCTACACCACCGCCCAGAGCCTTCTGTTTCTGTGGGGTCTGCAGATTATTGAGCATTGTTGTCTAGTGATGGCTGTGTCTTCTCCTTTATTAGGAAAGTCTGGTGTTTCCAAGAAAGAGCAATTTTTGAAGGGGCTGTAGTAATGGCGACTTTCATTTGATATGCACATTTGTAATTTTGATAGCCTTCACATACACTAGTCATCTTAATTGCTACAACCCTGGAAGGGAGAACAGG